AGGCACTTCTCAAGCTATCTCAACAGGTTATAATTTTTTACCTTTATATATACTACTGTAACAGTACAGCAATATAGTCAACTACATGTAGGTTTACTTTTCATAATTTTTGTATCATCTTATAGAATATGGAGGATAAGAGTTCACGTGCTTTCACTCCTCAGGATTTTGTATCGTACATTATTATATATGTATATGTTATAAATCCAAATTATATAGAAATCTAATTGAATTTTTTTGGAAATTTTATTTTACTTTGAATTGTAGTCACACCAAGGAAGTGATGTTCACGGAGGCACCGCATATTTGGAAAATGCAAGGTGTCAATTATTACATTGGTATTTTGAGGAGGAAGAAGAAGCTGTTGCGGAAAGGAAGATTGCAACAACATATCCATTTGCAAAGGTTCATCACTTACCAGTTGGACGAGACTGCTGGAAGGTTTGGGTTGAGGAAGTGTACATGAATAGTTTGGCATTGTACAGACCGACAAATGAACATCGGACTCTTAGTGAAGCCATAGGAAGTACCGTTGCTTGGCCGAAGAGCAGTATTAGGCTTATTTGACATTATATCTTAAGATTTCACTCGTTTTTTAGAACTCCTTCTTAGTTGATTAGTATCTTTTAAGCTTTTAATGCGGTTGTAGGGTTGGAAATGATTTGATATGATGTTTGCAACTAGGCGTGGCTTGTGATTTTGTAGGAAAACGGATTTTGGATTGATGTATAGGTTGTATAGGTTATAGTTTCATGTATTTTCATTTTGTATGGTTAAAAAATATGTAATGAAATTTTAATCTTATTTCCATTTTGTATTCATATGGGTTTCGTGTATTGAAAAACACAAATTGAGTTTGTGTACTACTTTTTTCAATTGTTGGGAAATTCGTATTTTTGATTTAGCAGCAATACAGGTGAAAATAGCAAAAACGGAGAAAATTTAGGGAAAATGAGGAGCCTACGATAACCTTTTTTGGGCGTTGCCGTAGCTAGATACGGCAACGTTTTTTAGCTACGGCAAAAAACGTTGCCGTATCTAGCTACGGCAACGGCCAAAAAATGTTGCCGTAGGTAGCTACGGCAACGGCCCGTAGGTAGCTACGGCAACGCCCAAAAAACGTTGCCGTAGGCTCCCACTCTACAACAATACTGAGGTTTGCAACATTTGACTAAACGTTACAAAAAGTCTTCGGCAACGTTTTTCAAACGTTGCAAAAGACCTTTTTTGTTGTAGTGAGACATCAGTAAATAAAGACTGCTTCAAAAGAAAATGGGATGTCTTTTTTACCAGAGAAGTAACTTCCGGAGTTATCTTGCTTTGTTTGCAAAGACAATTACTTTAATAGTGTGAGCCCAGTTTCTCTAATGTGGCAATGAGATGTCCCGTTGTGTTCGGGGGTAAGCAAGTGACCAGCTCTATTGAGTTTCAAAGAAAGTGATGCACGATGAAAGAAGGGACCAGAAGACGAATTCCAAAAAGAAGAAGAAGAAGGCAGCAAGAAAGGGGAGAGAAGACAGGAGAGAAAGGGGGGAGAACCGGAGAAGAAACCAGGGGAAGGGAAGGGGAAGCAAGGGAGGAAACGGCTGCAAGCCAAACACAA